AGCTTCTTCTGGGGAGAAAGACAGAGAAAAAAATAAAGTTAACAGCTGAAATAGCAGGAAATAATACAGTTAAAGAGCAGATTGTAGAAGAAAGTAGTCGAGTGTGGAAAGTGGTCTGTGTGTCCTCCAGCAGTCTAAGCCTATAGCAGCATAACTACAGAGATAACTCAGGATAACCTAGCCTTTTAGATGGATGCAAGTTGGAGGCAGGGCAAGGGAGAGCCGTCTTTACCGACTGTACACTCCACCTCCCTCTACTCCCCCACTTGTCCAGATCTAGGCTAACATCAGAGTTTAACCATAGGCCCTATCAAATAAAAATGTTTTAAGCCTAGCCTTAAACGTAGACAAGGTGTCTGCCTCACGGACTAAAGTTGGGAGCTGGTTCCACAGGAGAGGAGCCTGATAGCTAAAAGATCTGCCTCCCATCCTATTTTTAGTTATTCTTGGAACCAGAATAAACCTGCAGTCTGAGAGCGAAGTGCTCGGTTAGGAACGTATGGAACAATCAGATCACTGATGTATGATGGAGCTTGATTATTAAGAGCTTTATATGTGAGAAGAAGGATCTTAAAATCTATTCTGAATTTAACAGGTAGCCAATGTAGGGAAGCTAGGACAGGAGAGATATGATCCCTCTTTTTAATTCTCATCAGAACTCTAGCTGCAGCATTTTGGACAAGCTGAAGACATTTAACTACATTCTGTGGACTTCCTGGGAGTAATGGATTACAGTAATCCAGTCTTGATGTAATAAATGCATGAACTCGTTTTTCAGCATCACTCCTGGAAAAGATTCTTCTAATCTTAGCAATATTCCGAAGGTGGAAAAAGGAAATCCTACAAACCTGTTTAACTTGGGATTTGAATGACATGTCCTGGTCGAAGATAACACCAAGGTTCCTTACTTTGTTCTCGGAGACTAATTTAATGCAGTTCAGGTCAGGTGATTGGCTAAGCAATTTCCTTTTCTGAATTTCAGGTCCAAGGATGAGAACTTCAGTCTTATCTTGATTTAAAAGCAGAAAGTTTATTGTCATCCAACTTTTTATGTCTTCAAGACACTTACCTAACTGATTAGGTTAATCAGGGTTTATGGATAAATATAACTGAGTATCTTTAGCATAACAGTGGAAGTTTATCCCATGGTGTCTAATAAATTTACCAGTTGGAAGCACATATATAGAGTAAAAAGAATGATAAGTTCTGTCAGTTTATTATAATATTCTGAGCAGGACTGTCTAAAACCTATGGAGAAAATGTTTTGTATTTTGCAAAAAAATACATTGATTAAATGTTTTTAAAACAAATTAAACATGTATAAAATGGAAACATCAGAGATCACTACAATACCCACTGTTCAATAAACACAAATCCACAGCACAAAAGGATATTGACATGGATCAAAAACGTCCTGCCTGAGACTCACACATCTGCGGATTTGCCAGGTTATTCCATCTTGTGACATTGCAGAAGCTTATCAAAACAATGACACTGTGTGTGTACTCTGGAGTGTGGGTTTGTCTTGCCAACACTTCCCAGACACAGCCCACTAAAGTCCATGGTGGAACAAAATGAGCATGTTTGCTGGGTAGAGATCATCTCTTCCCTTGTTTTCATTACTATCTGAAAGTTTTAGCAATGCAAGTTGGGGATGATTTATTAGTTAGTGTTTAAGAGAAGTTTAATGAGAAATTAAATGAGAAATTAAAATCAATAGTACAATAAAATAGTATAACAAAAAAACATTTGCAGGTTTACAAGCAAACACACAACTTACACAATTCTAAGAATGGGTGCAGGCAGAAGCATAAGCTTATAAGCCCAACCCCCCTAACCCTTTGAACTTAAACAAAATTTTAGAATAGCATACCAATTCCATAATTTTTACATCATATTTGAAATGTATGGGAACATATTCAAATCCCCATTCTTGCTTTATAAGAAATAATGACCTTTAATATTTTATGCATTTTTTCATTGACTTGATTCCTAAAAGTTAATCACATTTGATCTAAACATACCCTTAAACTTTACCACTGTTGAACAATCTTTTTGCTCCTGGTCTAATTTATTCCACACATCAACCCCAACACAAGAAATACAAAGTTGTTTCATTTTAGTTCTTACTTTAGGCTTTCTAAACATTTTATACCCTCTGAGATCATAAACACTCTCTCTGATCTGGAACAGATTCTGAATTAGTTTTGGCATCAAATTATTCATCACTTTATACGTACATAAATGGTGCAGTTCTTAATGTAACTAATTCTCTTAACTTTAATGCTTTTAAACGAGTAAAATGTAAATGTGTTTGCTCTCTACGAGCTGCTTTATTTACAAGTCGAATTGCTCTCTTCTGAATTATAAACAAAGGCTTTAAGTGGGTTTCGTAGGTATTTCCCCACACTTCAACACAATACATGAAATAAGGCAGAATTAAGGAACAATACAAAAGATATCAAGCTTTTTCATCTAAAAATTCTTTAACTTTATAGAGAACTGCTAATGATTTAGATAACTTTGCTTTAATTGAGTCAATATGCGGTTTCCAACTTAACTTTTTCTATGGTTACGCCAAGAAATGTTATTTCATTCACTCTTTCAATTTCTGTATTATTTATTTTGAGATGTGTATCCACTGTAATTGCTCTATTAGTAAATATGATAAATGTTGTTTTATTTAAATTTAAAGTTAATTTATTTAAGTTAAACCAACACTTTAATGCATGTATTTCTTTCTCAACCTTGTCCATTTTTATTAAATCTTTCCCAAAACTTACATTAGTATCATCTGCAAATAGTATGAAATGCAATGTTTTAGAAACTAAACATATGTCATTAATATAAAGAACAAACAACAAGGGACCTAACACTGACCCCTGTGGGATACCGGTGGTCACTGTCAGTAGCTGTGAATCAGTGTTGTTAATGTGGACATATTGGAATCTGTTATCTAAATAACTCTTAATCCAGTCATAGGCCACACCCCTGATGCCATATCTACACAATTTTTTTTATTAATAAGTCATGATTAACAGTATCAAAAGCTTTGGTCAGGTCTAAGAAGACCCCAACAGCATATTGTTTGTTGTCAATTGCATCAGATATTTTCTCCACTAGATCAACAATTGCCAGAGAAGTTGTCCGATCACGTCTAAAACCATATTGCTGTTCGGAAAGAATATCATGATGCACAATAAAGTCATACAATCTTTTATGAAATATTGTTTCTAGTATTTTGCAGAACTGAGATAAAATAGAAATTGGTCTATAATTAGAAAACTCATGTTTGTCTCCAGCCTTATAGATAGGAATGACTTTTGCAACCTTCATCCTTTCAGGAAATCTTCCTGATTGGAGAGACTGGTTACAAATATGTGTAAGTGGTTTGGCTATAATCTCAATGATTTCTTTTACAACCGACATATCAAATCCATGTAAATCTGCTGACTTTTTACTTTTAAATTGTTTAACAACTGTTATAACTTCATTTTCATTTGTGCCTTGAATAAATATGGTTTTATCTACATTTGTTATTTTACTCACAGCATCAGCATCTAATTTAGTATTTGATATATCCTTTGCCAAATTTGGCCCAATTTCGGTAAAATACTTATTGAATTCATTTGCTATTTCTTTAGACTGATAAATTTCTTGATTGTCTTTTGTTAGAAAAATATTTGGAAGACTATTGGTGCCACTACCCTTTTTTATTACATCATTTAATATGTGCCACATACTTTTAATGTTAGATTTATTTCCTTCCAATAATTTGCTACAATAATTTCTTTTACTAGATCTCATAATATTTATTAATTTATTCTTGTATATCTTGTAATTCTGTTCTGCTTCCTCCGTTCTTTTCTTTAAAAAGTCTTTATACAGCTTATTTTTTTTCCTGCAAGCCTTCTGAATCCCCGTAGTTATCCACGGCTTTTTAGCATATTTATTCTTATCCACCTTATAAAGCAATGGGCAGTTTTTTTTTCATAAAGAGAAGTTACAATATTTAAAATTGTTCCATAAGCCATATTTACATCTTCCACATAAACCTCCTCCCAATTTTGTTCCATTAAGTCAGTTTTAAATGAATTTACTGCTTCTTGATTTTTTAGCCTTGTAACAACCACAGATTCACTTTGAGTAGTTACAGTTGTCCTTTGTACAGTTGTGAAAACCGGTAAATGATCAGACATATCGGTAATTATAAGACCACTTAACACATCGTATTCAAGAATATTTGTAAAAATATTGTCAATCAGTGTCGCACTAGTTCTCGTAATTCGAGTTGGCCGAGTTATTAGTGGATACAGTCCCAGAGTAAACATAGAATTAATAAACTCTGTATTTGCATTTTGCATTTGAGGATTCAACAGGTCGATGTTGAAATCCCCACAGACAAAACACATTTTTCTGTTGATTATATCATCATACATATCAACTAATTTTTCTATAAACGTTTCAACACAAGATCCTGGTTTCCTACACATACAACTGACTAACACATTCTTAGACTTTTCCATTTCTATTTCCACAGATACACACTCCATAATGTTATCCATAACTAATGTCATATCACCCACCAATCTACTTTGAAAGTTTTTATCAATATACAAAGCCACACCCCCACCTTTTTTGCAGTCTCTACTTGTAGAAAACATATTATATCCTTCAATTTGAAACATAGATGTCCTCCCTTCCTGGAGCCATGTCTCAGAGATTGCTATTACAGTAAATTGATGATATGATTGCTACAAACATTGCATAATCTTCACAAAATTTGAATTTAGACCTCTACAATTGAAATGTATAACAGACAATTTACCTTTTATAGTGACATTATGTTCAAACTGGTCTTCAGTATAGTATTCACAATGATTATCTACTCTAGTGTAAAAATTGTTATCTGGATCAATGTCATCCTGCATATCCTGTGGTTTATGTTCTGTGTAGTCAAACCTTTGCAATTGTAAATTTTCATAACTTGAATTACCAGTCTCTGTTCTTACTGTATTGAGAGTTGAATAATCCAGATTCTTCGTATATCTTCTTGTTGTATCATCCATGCGTGAAGTTGGTTGTCTTCCTCTTGTTCATCCTTGGTGATCCACAGCAGACGTATGTCATTTGTGTTGATCAAGTTCTTTAATATCTCTGATGACCATCACTTTTGCCTGCTCCGGGGGACCATTTAGCTTTATCAGTACTTTGCAGTTTCTTGTCCGTGTCATGGATCTTCTTTTCTTTTCTCAGGATCCTTGCTTGCCTTGCGATTTCTGAGTTTCTTTTCGTAAGATGCTCATTTACATATACACTTGTACCCTTTAATTTTTTTGCATTCCTCAGCACCTCCATTTTACATTTTCTACTGGCAAGCCTGATGACAATGGTTGACGTTTTACTATGTTTTTGAGCCAATGAGTGACAAGCCACAATGTCTTTACTGGTTATTGCAATATCTTTGCTGTTGAAAAATTTGATCACTTGATCCTCAAGTGAAGGACAACCTGGAGAATGAGTAGCAGTGATTTCAATGTCTTTTCCCCTGTCACAGGCTGCGGCCTGTGCATAGGTACGGTGTATCTCCAGCCCTGATATCAAGAGATCATCTAACCTTGAATGTTGCTCCAAACTCGTCAACCCTCCGTTCAAGCAGTTCAATTTTTTTGTCCTTTTCTTATATTAAAGCCTTAAGTTGCTTGACTTCTTTCAATACCTCCTGTAGGCCGCTCTGCTGTTTTGCCACTTTAGTTATCTCATGTGACATGAAATTCAAGGACTTTTTTATCTCCTCCATCTTCTTGGACCAGATTCTCCATAGACATCGTTGTTCCAAACAGTTTCCTTGGATGGTTCATAACTTTATGGTGTTGTCAGATCCCCAGCTGGTAGAAACATGTGCCGAAAAAAAATGTCCAACAGTTCATGTGTCGAAAAATATGTTCAATACTTCATCTATCTCAAAAATGGTTTAAGCCAAATGTTTCTAATTATTTAAGCCACAAAAAAGCAAGCTTAGAAAAGGTGGATGTTATCTTATTTTGCTGATATTCATATATTAGTAGAGCTCAGCAATCTCACCACTTTAGTAATATCTATTTTATTTAGCATAACACTTTTAAGAAAACTAATCTGTTTGAGGAAAGGCTGTCTTGTATTATAATATTGTGACTATATTTCTTTATTTCAAGATGTTTCGCTAGATCTATTTAAAAATGTACCTTCTATATTCTTCCCAGACTTGTCTCCTGGATTTACCTACCCAGCTATTGCTATGAGCTACAGAAGCGGACCCTCCCCTCAGGACGTTTGTCTGGCTGAGCCAGCCAGCCTGGAAGCAACCCAAGCGGAAGCTGCAAAGCAAGCTCCTCAGTACTTTGTCAGTCTAGGAGACAAGCTAGAATGTCAAGGGCCAGTCATAGAGCTCCCGGAGCCACTCCCACTGAAGGAAGTTGAGTCAGAAGAGGAGGGAAGAGTGATTGAGAGAGTCTTGGAACAGAAGGAAGGGGTAGAAGAATCAATCTATGTCCTTGGTGAGGGGGAGACAGAGGAACAGAATTCAGCTGAGGAAGATGTGCTAGTTTGTCCCCCTACTGAGAGGTCAGCGAGGGAGGCAGCTTCCTGTCCAGTTTCACCTTCAACAGAAGACCCAGGTGGGCCCGAGGCAGTAATTACTTTAGATGAGGAAGATGAAGAAGAGGCAATGGGCAGAAACAGACAAGTGGGGCATGATCAAAATGTCATCATGCCTGGAGAGTCGAAGCCTAAAATAACTGGCATCATAGAGCTTGACCCAGCTGCCTCTGAAGGCATGTTCCCAAAGGGAGAAACAGAAATTGAGTCCAAGAAGGAGAACAGGATGACGTCTAATGATGTTTCAGTGGAGATCCCGTTTCTCTCCCCAGCTTCAGCTTCTGCCTGCAGCCCAACTGAGGAGTCTATTGCTGTGCCCCACAAGCCTCTTGCGTCCTGCTACTGGAGTCTTGAGCTGCTTATTGCTGCTGCTTTTTGCACAGATGTACCACCATTCTCCTTGTTCCCTTGTAATAAACTCTCAGTTGTGCCATCACAGTACAACCCCAACCAGGGTATGGAGCTTCTGAGTGAGCTGGCGGATCTTGAGCAGCAGCAGATGAAGCGCATCTGTGGGAAAAGCCAAGGTGCGTGGCATTGGGTCTATCTTAACACACATCAAAAGCATGACAGGTTATCACTTCCCCACTGAGACCTTTTCTTTGTTTGTCTATTTACTCAAAGACACTCTGTGCTGAGTTTAAAAACCGTTGGGATGCAGTCTTGTTAACCTTCATGATTTTCCTCTAGAAATCGTTGGTTGCTATGATCAAAATTTTCAGTTAAATATATAATGTTGGAGACACACACGTTGATATTTGAAGTGGAAAAAATTAGAAGAATTTACAGAAAGTGTGCAATAATGGTTTAAACAAAATTAGGCAGGTGCAAAAATGTTGGCACTCTTGTCTTTTTATTGGTTTAAAAACCTTAAGAAATAATAATTGGAACTCAAAATTAGTTTGGTAAGCACAGTGACACTTGATCTCCAAACACAAATGAATCCAATCAGATTATTTAAGAGATAAAGAGATCTTTGTCAAATTCTTCACATGCATTTGACATACAAAGAAATCAAAATTAGGTTTCTCACTATCCCATGCACAAACAGGACACACATACATGACAGGACAGGACAATACATAACAAACTCAAGAGTAACAATAGATAAGGTGCAACTGAAAAAATAGTATGATGTTTAGATGTAATACTTAGTTCTAGTGTTATGGTTGTTTTTGTGCAGAGACATTCATTAATAATAGTAATAATAACTAGAACATTCCTGAAGAAATTATGAAAGGGGCCTGCCATCTGGGTCTGAGTCTGGTGGTCCGGGCACGGTGGCTCCTGCACCTCTTTCCAGAAGACAGGAGATTGTGTATGGGGTGGCTGGATCATTTATGATTGTGATTGTTTTTCAGGTGGGGTAGGCGATGTAAATGTCTTCCAAGGAGGGAAACTGTACACCAATGGTCCTGTTAGTTGTTTTTGCACTGCAGAGCTTTCCTGTTGTAGTCAGTGCAGCTCCTACCCCACACTGTGATCCAGCTGCAAGGGATGCTGGAAAGGGGTCAGTTATAAGTTTACCTCCTCTTTGAACATTCTCTGAAAAATAGCAACATGGGGGTCCCAAAACAACTCTCAAATGACCTAAAAACAAAGATTGTTCACCATCATGGTTTAGAGAAAGGATACAGAAAGCTGTCTCAGAGATTTTAGCTGTCGGGTCACAGTTAGGAACATATTGGGTAATTGGAAGACCACAGTTCAAGTTAAAGGGGACAAAGAATGCATTTTATCAGCAATCTAAAACTCTGCTTTGAATCTCTAAGAAGCAGAAGAATTTATCTTTTGGCTTTCATCTGTCTCAGGAGCACTGATACAGGCCAGCCCCTTAAATCAGCCTGGCTGTGAAAAGAGCTGTTTACCCCTCCCACTTGAAGGACAAGAATATGCTAATGAGCTGTTTGCTGATTGGTTGGTTTACACCAGAAGGCCTCAGACACTGGATCCTGTAGATTGGAGGAGGAGGGGCTCCATATGTTTTTATGAGGTTTCTCAGAAAAAAAAGTTTTGCTCTTGCATTTTTAAACATTCTAATTTTCATAAAAGTAGGTCGTACACAGCTTAGACTTTTTGGCATGCTACTTTTGACCACCCAAGCTTTTTTTATTCACAAACAACAAGAAAGTGTTGGTTTAGATTATTTGTCCCCATTTAAGGCTTGAAGAGGCAGAACAAGAAAATTCTTGAATAATTAGAAAATGATGAGAACAGTCAGAGTCAACCCACAGACCAGCACCAAAGACCTACAACATCATTGCTGCAGATGGAGTCACTGTGCATTGTTCAACTATTCGATGCACTTTACACAAGGAGATGCTGCATGTGAGAGTGATGCAGAGGAAGCCTTTTCTCTGCCCACAGCACAAACAGAACTGCTTGAGGTGTGCTACATTTGGAAAACCCAACTTCATTCTGGAATAAATTGCTGTGGACTGATGAAACTAAATTTGAGTTATTTGGGTATGACAAGGGGCATTTTGCGTGGAGGAAAAAGAAAAACACCTGCCACCTACAGTAAAACATGGTGGTGGTTCCACCATGCTGTGGGCTGTGTGACTAGTGCAGGGACTGGGAATCCTGTTAAAGTTGAGGGACGCATGGATTCCACTCAATATCAGAAGATTCTGGAGACCAAAGTTTAGAAATCAGTGACAAAGCTGAAGCTGTGCCGAGGCCGGATCTTTCAACAAAGACCCTAAACACTGCTTAAAATCTACTAAGGCATTCATGCAGAGGAACAAGTAGAACATTCTGGAATGGTCACCTCAGGACCCAGATCTGAATATCTTTGAAACTCTGTGGTGTGAGTTAAAGAGAGCTGTCCATCAAACATCTAATGAACTAGAGATGTTTAGTGAAGAAAAGTGGTCCAAAATACCTTCAACCAGAATAAGGACTTTCTTTGGAAACTATAGGAAACATTTAGGGGCTGTTATTTCTGCAAAAGGAGGATCTACTAAATACTGAGTTCATTTATTCCTTGTGTGGTGCCCAAATTTATTCATCTGCCTAATTTTGTTCAATTATTGCACTTTCTATAAATCCTATAAACTTTTTACTTCTCAAATATCACTGTGTGTCTCCTATACGATATATTTAATGGAAATTTTTATCGTATTAAATCAATGATTTATACAGGAAAATCAGGATTAACAAGGCTGCCAAAACGTTCACATTCCACTGTATCTTCCTAGAGAGTATATCTTCTGTCCTGCCCCTCCATGTTAACTACACTTTCTTTTCCTAAAAGGCTGTTCTAAAGATACAGTGTTCTGGGGGGGCTGAATTTGTGTTCTGATAAATTTCTCTTTGGTCCAGTCTTACAGTCTCTCCATCCTGCAGCTGTTTGATTCACGCATTTGTGCACACACATACGTACATGCCTAGCAATTTGTTTCCTACTCTTCAAAACACAACACTCTAAAAGTCGGTGTCTAATTGCCAGAGGTGTGACCAAGTCACTGCTTTGCAAGTCACAAGTAAGTCACAAGTCTTTCCAGTCAAGTCTCGAGTCAAGTCCAAGTCAAAGACAACCAAGTCCAAGTCAAGTCCAAAGTCAATGATGTGGAAGTCCAAGTTAAGTCCAAGTCCTTAACCTTGAATTTTCAAGTCATAATCAAGTCATCTGTCCAACTTCAATTTCATGACAATGATAATGAATAACTCCCAGAACTAAAGCTTCTTAAAGCTTAATTTATTTGCTCAAACAAGCAGAATGTGCAACAGAAACTGATTATAAACAAAGTACTGCTGCATTTAGCAGTAAATCACACCCAGAGTGAAGAATGATTTATGGTTTTTGTCCATGTCATGCCACTTTTGTGCTAAAATATCAAATATGCTCAAGTCAACCGATGCAAGTCGATTCAAGTCGCAAGTCATTGGCGTTCAAGTCTGAGTCAAATCGTAAGTCTTTATAGATTTTGTCAAGTCAGAAGTTATTAAAATATTGACTCGAGTCTGACTCAAGTCTAAGTCATGTGACTCGAGTCCGCACCTCTGCTAATTGCAAAGGCAGTGCAAGTTTTAAGCACTTGGCTAATTAGACCCTGTTGTTTAAAGTGCCTTGAAATCTTTTTTGCAAAGCACCATGTCATTTTATCGTCTTCTTTTCTCGTGTAAAAGGACGTTTTGTGTTTACCACAGCATCCTAAATAATTTAACTGCTCTCACAAGTGGGTTGTATAAAAAGGGCATCAGCAGAGGCCAAAGTAAGAGATGTTGTCTTTGCAATGCTGTTGACAGCTCAAGAAAATGGCATATGTTGGTTTACAGTCACTTCTCATTAGTGATGTGTCGGTTGCGAACGAACCGGCTCTAAGAGCCGGCTCTATGAAGTGAACGACAGGAGCCGGCTCGTCATTGGGAGCCGTCACCCTCCCTCCCCTCCCCCTCTTGCTTTGGTGAAAGCCACAGGCGATTGGTCATCATGTGTAACTGCGTGTCCAGGCTATCCACACACAGAGCAGTAGGGGTGGGGAAGAGGGAGGATCAGACTCAGACAGACACACAGCAGAGCACATGCGAGCGGAGGGAGACGAGAGGGAATGAGGAGGAGGAAAAAGGCGAGCGAGAGAGAGGAGCATGCGACGAAGACGGTGAGAAAATGAGCAACAGCAGTCAGAAAGCTGAGATGTCTTAAAAATGTTCAGTAAATAAATCCATATAAATGATAAATATTTGATATATTGCATCTTTTTTTACATTAGTAAATCGTTTTACATATAGTTTTGCATTATTTTTGGTGATAAATTTACTCTACGCAACAGAAAATCTTAGGAGCCACTTGGGAGCCGAAAGAGCCGGCTCTTTTTGGTGAGCTGAGCCAAAAGAACTGGCTCTCTAAAATGAGCCGGAATTCCCATCACATCTTCTCATGTGAATGTTAACTGAGAAAAGTCTGTCAAGATGGTGATCTCATGTTTCTAACTGGCCTGTTTCTGTGTTATTTATTTTATAGGTTTTGGGTCCAGACAACCATAGAAATTACAGCATCATAAACATTCAGATGAATATGAACTTTGTTAATATGCCACTGTCTCTTTTTGTTAATTTAAAGCACACATTTTTTTGTCAGACACGTTTTTATTTTAATAGCAGACATAATGCTTATTTGAATGAACACCCTCAACTTCCTTATTTTTTGTATTCTTAAAGCGTACATTAAGGAATGGGGCTTGTCTCTGAACTATAATAGCTCTTTTTTTTTTCTTATTTTGTTTTGTTCCCTATCAGGGGATGAGCTGCTCCTGTTTGACCTCCAAAGCTTTGCTACCTTGGCCTCAGCTCGTGCCTTGGAGTTAGGGTCCCTGGAAGGCAGTAATATTGCTTCAGGGAGACACTTTCCAGCTTGCAGGAGTTTAAATTTACGCAGGATGTGCAGCTGGACGCATCGCGATGAGCCTGTAAGATCACATCTTCTTTAAATGCTCAAACCCAGTTTTACTCTTAATAACCTTTAATCCAATTGATTAAATGAATTGACCAAAGGCTTTTTTGCTTTAAAACTTTGTGCACTTTAGGCGTACCGAGCCAAAGTTAACATGGAAACACTAGATAGACCTGAGCTGGCAATGCGTGTGAAGTTAGCAGAGATTCAGCGTCGCTACAAAGAGAAGCAAAAAGAGTTGGCCAAACTTCAAAGGAAGCATGACCATCAGTAAGCATGGCCTTATTATTTACCAAAATTCATCATTTTAACTCTCTAACTCATAAGCGAAAATCCCAGGGAGGACAGAGGGGACATGTCCCCCTCAGGCATAAAGTTGCCCCCCCAAACAAAACTGTATATATATATATATATGTGTGTGTGTGTGTGTGTGTGTGTGTGTGTGTGTGTGTGTGTGTGTGTGTGTGTGTGTAAACCATTTTAACAGTGATTTAGTATTGTCCAATGAAAGCAGAGCACAACTGAAAATATTAAGCCCATAAAACAACGCGTCTTTATTCATTCAAAGATTATGACTCCCCGTCCACTAATCCTCCAATTGGTACAGTCCACAAGCTGCTCCAACTAGCTAGGCTGTTGCTGCTGCGATACTCCCGGAGTTAATGAGGGGGCGAGCAAGATGAGAGAAACAGTGAGTAGGTTAACAACCACACCACTTGTTGAACATGTACGGAAAAACACCTTTTTCTCTGCTAAGCTTTGTTAATTTCCCAATAAAATGTCCCTGTTAAGGAGCTGCAGCTCGTCTCCCTACTGGAGTCTCACAGTTTGTTAAAAATTCTCCAAGTTGGTAGACTAAGAAAATGCCGAAAACAAACGAAAGCGTTTGTTGCATTTTGTTAAAGTAAAAGGAAACAGAGCTAAGTTGTTTAAAAAATGTGGATGTATCCTAGCAACTAATGAATAAAGCACCGCACCTTGTGGCATCAACCTGTGAGCCACAACGTGACCCGTCTTTGCCAAGACCCTTGTGGCATGCCCTTTTAACATTTAATCAATAATCATTTTTTATCCTCATTTCTATTTTCACATAGCAACAATGTAATTAATCCTATCTATTATTCTTACTAATCATCATTGAAATGAAAGGTATCAACAGCAATTTTGTTACTAATATATATTATTTTAAGGACATGTTTGCAACTTGGAGAAGAAAATGGCAGGATTCTATCATTTACTGATATGCTGACATCTCGCCTCTGATCAGCTGGTTTTTCAGTCAACTTGCTTATAGGGAGCCTAAGTCACTTCCGCACCATGGGTCCCCGGAAGAACAAAAAAATGAATGCAAGTCAACGGGGCTAAACAAGCTATTTTCTAATTCCGCTTGTTATGTGCAATGAATGTCACATATGATGTCCGTGAATTGTAAAGACACATTTGATACCAAGAATGCGCTTATTTTCGAACGGGGGGAGGTTGGGACACACACACACACACACACACACACACACACGCTATTTTAGGTTTTGTGTGAAAATAAGTTCAGGACTTCACGAAAGTGATGTCATCGAACCAGACACAAAGAAAACAGGGAAAATGGCTCTAAGTTCAGCAAACTTTCCACAGGAGTGAAGAACCACCGTAAATCTGGCCATTTGGTAAGCAGCAGCTACTTTGGTGACGTCACATATGCGACATGCCGATTTCTAGTTTGTAGTCATGCTATTTGCAAACTTTTACAAGCTGATAAATCTCAAATTACATGACAGGGATGGTCGAAACACCCAACATTATTTTTCTTTTAAATTGCAGAATGTTGCAAAACAACATATGTGTGATCCAGGGCGTAAGGCATTGTGGATTGGAAAATTGCATTTTTAGTGCATTTATTTTTTCATTCTTCCGAAGACCCATGATGCAGAAGTGTCTTAGACTCCCTGTACTGGAGGTCCATTCTGCAAGTTGCAAAACAGTAGGAGACAGCCATTTTCTTCATGTCCCTCCCAATATTTCTCTCTGAAATTTTACTTTTATTGTCCCCCTCCAAAAACGAAATGGGATTTTCGCCACTGCTTTAACTATCAAAACAAACACACATGCATCTACTTTTAGATACCGTTTCTTTCTACATGTTGCTGCTTTTCCTAGTCTACAGATGCTGGTCATAAAATTAGAAATTCACGACTAAGTTGATTTATACTGCATGATATTTTAACTTTATGACCAGCACCTGTAGATTGTATAATTGAGTTCTTCTGTCTGCTTGTGTGATCACATCATCTTTGTAAAGCAGGAAGGAGGAAATGCCACGTAGTCCAGCACGACGAGGTCCAGGACGACCAAGGAAGATGAAACCCACCCTCACCACAGGTCCATTCCTGTCAACTGAAGGCCAACAAAAAGTCAAGTGAATATCAATCATCCCATCTTTGCTGGCTATCTGACTCCGTAACGTCTTGCATGAAAAGTTCCTCTGTTCCAATGGCATGCAAGGACCAGTCTACACTGGTATAAACAGGAAATGGGAAAACTGATTAACCATTTGTTGAGGTATCAACTATGGAGGGGTCACACAGAACTCGTGCCACATGGCTTTCCGTATATTTAGCAATCTTTATTATACCGAATTACAGGTTAATTTTTTTATTTCATATAAAATCCTGTCCAAAAACACAATTTGAAATGGTTATTGTAGTTTGTTTTACAATACAAAATGAGCTGTCAGCTTTCTTCTCATTCATACTCTCTGTCAGGAATCTTGATGTGACCTTTGACCCAGCTCTCACCCTGGATTCTCATGTAGGGCTGAACGATTTTAGGAAAAGATTGAATTGCAATTTTTCTAGCAGAAATTGCGATTTCGTTTCAATTCATGATTTTCTGCAAAGGTCCAACACTAGCCTGCCAAGCCATCCTGTAGATTAAGTGAAAAGATGGTCTAGACTCTAATCTAGTACAACAAATCATTCAAATTAATATTTACTCTTTAATCATACAATTAAAACAGTTAAAGCTATTAATATTTTCTCCCATTATTATCTTTTTTTTATGTTTTTGAAGAAACTTGTACTTGTGATTTTTATCTAGAGAGGAGCTTTATAAGAAAAAGAAGAAGAAGAAGAAAGTATCATTTCTATAACGCCTCTCGAGATAAAAACCACGAGGCGCTTCACAAAAACAAAAAATGTAAAAATATAAAAAAGCATTTAGAAAATGTTGAAAAATATATTTTAAATGAGCAAAAATAGACAATTGTGATAAAAAAAAAGTTAAGAAAGAGAGAGTGAACAGTAAAGAGGGAAATCAGTGGATCCTCAAGGAAGGTGGAATAGGTGCGGAGAGCTGAATAAAGAGAGAGACGTGAAGAAGGTCACACAAAAGCCAGCCTGAACAAGTGAGTCTTCAGCTGCTTTTTAAAGGAGACCACTGAGTCCACTGATCTCAGGCTCAGGGGGAGAGAGGTCCAGAGTCTGGGGGCCACAGCAGCAGATGATCTGTCACCTTTGATCTTTAGCCTGGTGCTGCACAACCAGTAGGCTTTGGTCACTGGACCTCAGGGACCTGCTGGGGGTGTAGGGACTAAGAAGATCACCAATGTAAGATGGTGCTTGTCCATGTAAGGCCCTATAGACCAGAACCAGGATCTTGAAATGAACCCTGAAGGTGACTGGCAGCCAGTGAAGCTGGAGGAGAAGCGGGGTGATGTGGGTGTGTTTGGAGGACTTGGTCAGAAGCCGAGCACAGGCATTCTGAACCACCTGTAGATGGTTCAGGGAGGTTCTGCTCAGACACGTGAAAAGAGAGTTACAGTAGTCTAAGCGTGAGGAGATGAAGGTGTGGAGAACTGTCTCAAGTTCAGAGCGGAACAGAATGGGACTCAGCTTAGCAACGTTCCTGAGATGGAAGAAGGAAGAGCCAACAAGAGAACTGACATGAGAATCCAGGGTGAGAGCTGGGTCAAAGGTCACGCCAAGATTCCTGATGGAAGGTTTGGTGTGGAAAGCAAGCTGACCAAGAGAGTCTCTGACTTTGGGAACCAGCTTGTCTGGGGCACAGATGAGGATCTCAGTCTTATCTTCATTCAGCTGAAGAAAGCTCCCACCATCCAGGCTTTGATAGAGTCTAAGCAGGTGTGTAACAGCTGCAGCTTAGACATCTTATGGGGCTTAAAGGAGATGTACAGTTGGATGTCATCTGCATAAAGATGGTAGGAGATTCCTTTAAAGTAGCTCAGGATGTGCTGAAGAGGAAGCAGATAGAGGAGGAAGAGCAGAGGCCCCAGCACAGAACCTTGTGGGACACCATGGGTAAGAGAGGTGGTGGAGGACCTAAACTTGGAGACAGCCACAGAAAAGGAACACTCAGAAAGATAAGAGGAGAACCACTCCAGAGCAGTTCCTGATAGGTGTACCATCTCTCAGCCTCTCCAGTAGCAGGTGATGGTCAACAGTGTCAAAGGCTGCAGTCAGGTCCAGCAGGACCAGAACAGAACCGTCCCCTGCATCACTGTGAGTCAGAAGGTCATTAGAGACTAGGGCTGCAACTAACGATTATTTTCATAATCGATTAATCTGTCGATTAATTTGATATATTGGCCTCCAACAGCCAGGGGAAAAGGCGGGGAAACAGTGCTGCTCTCTGATTGGTTGAGAGTGTTCAACCATTTTCTGTCCATTCAGGATCTAGCATCCACACATATGACACATCAAATCGACCAGCTTGGTCTCAGGAATCTTGTATTCAATTTTAAATGTGTTATCTGTTACCATGACAACACAAGGAACTACATATCACTTTAACCAAGTCTCATAGGAATGAATATAAAAAGCTGAATATTGAGCCAATAACAGACTCCTGTTTTTGATCTTTTTGAACTATCTGTACTTAAAACTAGAAACAAGTTAAATTTGATTGACCGTCAGAAGGTGGTAAAGTGCTCCGCTCCCTCCCAGCTCCCTGATTGGTTGAAAGAGGTCAATCATCTTCGGGCTAAATGGAATTACACACCCACGCATGTGAGACATCAAATCGATCGGCTAGGCCTAAGGAATCTATCCATCCACATATAAATAAAAATAAATAAATAAAAATAAAACCCTATACACTTAAAACTAGCAGCATAGCTGACATTTTAACACTAGTCAGAAGGCAGGAACCGCCCCCTCCTCCTTCGCTGCTCTCTCATTGGCTGAGAGTTTTCAATCGTCTTCTGCCTAAAAGGAAATGTGCACGCACACATATGGTACATCAATTCAACCTGCTTAGTCCCAGGAGTCTTGTGTTAACTTGATATTTTGTTCTGCGTTACCATGGCAACGTGCTTAGCAACAACATTTAATAGCATTTTCGACACAACTGTATCAACATACTTTAATATAGAAATGTTATTCAAAGTTTAAATGACTCATGTGTTATTGTACGTAGCTTTATTAATGCAGACTCCTGTCATCTGTTACCATGGCAACACAAGGAACTACAAATCACTTTAACCAAGTCTCATAGGAATGAATATAAAAAGCTGAATTTTGAGCCATCAACAGACTCCTGTTTTTGATCTTTTTGAACTGTTTGTACTTAAAACTAGAAATAAGTTCAATTTGATTGACCATCAGAAGGTGAGAAAGTGGCCCACTCCCTCCCAGCTCCCTGATTGGTTGAGAGAGGTCAATCATCTTCTGGCTTAATGGAATTACACACCCAAGCATGTGAGACATCAAATCGATCGGCTTGGCCTAAGGAATCCATCCTTCTACATATAAATCCATACATGCTTCTATCCACCCATCCATCCATCCATCCATCCATCCATCCATCCAATAAACCATCTAACATCCATCCAACAATCCATCCGTTATTTCATTCATCCAACCATTCATCTATCCCATATCAAATCTGAACATATGTTAATCTATCAGTTTCAGATATCAGCAAATATTTCTAAATTCACAGTTCAGCCAATTTTAAAAATGTACCCGTTAAACGATTCTAATTCAAATGCCAGCTGTTTAACATTTCAAATTTCAAGTTTTTAATAAATGATCAAAGATTAAAGTTTTCTGCTGTTTAGCATTTTTTATCCATTCTTCACCTATATTCTAAGCTTTATTACACTTGTTGGTGATTTTTGCTTCTAAATCTTTAAATACATTCAGCTCATTTTGACAGTTTAGCTTAGTTTCAGCTTCACTTCAGCTATTCAGCAGCTTCAGCAATCAGTTTCTGAATTTGGCTTATGCTACTCATTTCACAGTTCAACTAAATATAAAAATTAAACTGTTAAACTAGTCCTACTCAAACAACAAGTGTTTAGACATTTTTGCTTTCCAGATTTTTAAATGATGTTCAGATTTCAGTTTTCTGCTGTTTAGGATTGTTTTCTCCATTCTTCACTTTTTGTGCTTTATTTACATTTTGGTGATTTTTGCTTCTAAATCTTTCAAAATATTCAGCTCATTTTAACAGTTTTGCTTAGTTTCAGCTTCAGCAATTAGTTTCTGAATTCAGCATATAATGCTAATTTCACAGTTCTGCTAAATGTAAAAATTAAACAGTTAAACTAGTCCTACTGAAATAACAGGTGTTTAGACATTTTAGCTGTCCAATTTTTTTAAACAGTGTTCACAGATTTGAGTTTTCTGCTATTTAGGATTAGTTTTCTTGATTCTTCGCTTACTTTTTGTGCTTTTTTTGCTTCTTGGTGCTTTTTGCTTTCACATCTTTCACTACATTCAGCTCATTTGACAGTGTTGCTTAATTTCAGCTTACTTCAGCTATTCGACAACTTCAGCAATCAGTTACCAAATTTAGCATAAACTGCTAATTTCACAGTTCAGCTAAATGTAAAGATTAAACTGTTAAACTTGGCAAACTGAAATAACAGGTGTTTAGACATATAAGTGGTCCAGATTTTTATACAATGTTAACAGATGTAAGTTTTTTTTTTTTTTTTTTTTTTTTTTTTTTGCTATTTAGCATTATTTTTCTCTATTCTTCACTTACTTTTTGTGCTTTATTTGCTTGTTGGTGCTTTTTGCTTCTCCATCTTTCAAGACATTCAGCTCATTTTGGCAGTTTTGCTTAATTTCAGCTTCAGTTCAGCTGTTCAGCAGCTTCAGCTTACAATTTCAGCTATCCATCATTCAAACAGCATTAGTGCAATAAATGCAATTTTTCTAGTTAAAAGGTTGAAATTAATCTCAGGGTAATTTTTTTAAAAACTGTAAGCTTTCTTTTGTGTCTGATGATGTGATAAATGATAAATGACCTGCACTTGTATAGCGCCTTTCAGAGTAAGGACTCCAAAGTGCTTTACACTACAGTGTATCATTCATCCATTCACACACATTCACACACTAATTCTAGATAAATATTGAAACCTGTTTTATCCAAATTCCCAAGAATCAGTTAATTCATAAAAAAATTACCTAACATAAATACTATATTGGGTATAATATTAATATTTATTAATTTATCTAGATTCAATGCTTTAAAAATATGGCGTCTGCAGCCGCACAAAACCCAAATGGGGACAGGAAGATTTTTGCTCCACAACAAAACACACAGATGCAACATGGCACGATGGATGAAAGTGGTTTTACTAACACTTTAAATGAGCTAGCTCAGACGCAATATAGCAAAAGAAAAAAATACATAATTTTTTGGTTATGACCCATATAGTTTGTAAACTCGCACTTTGGAGGATTTACCCAGCACTAAAGCAGTTGGCAACAAACTACTTTGTGCTGCCTTCCTCATCCCCACTGTGTAGCTCATCCCCACCAGTGTAGGAATGTGTGTGTGAATGGGTGAATGACTGATTGTGTTGTAAAGTGCCTTGAGGGGTTTCATGACTCTAGAAGGCGCTATATCAAATACAAGCCATTTACCATTTTTACCGCATTACACACAAAAGCCTTTTACAACCCTGAAAGCCCACAGCTACTTTATTTGAAGTTGGTTAACTTTTTAGTGATCCAGAGAAGCTTTAAATGATGATCATCTTGTTTTTACTCAGTTAAGTAGAGTTGTGCTATTTTTTCATTAGCTCATGATAATAATGCTATCGCTAATGCTAACGGTCAGCATGTGCTATGATCTATTTATAACAAACTTTTTAAGCATATTTAAATTTAAATTTCTGGTTGGTTGGTTTGTTTTTAATAAGGTATAAACGCCACATTACAACACTAAGCTAACTGCTAAAGCAATTAACACTCTGACCGTGCTCAAGTGATTGGCAAAGCAAACTTGTTGCATGCCTCATATTACACCACTAACAAAATGAAAGCCTTTTACAAGCCTGGAAGCCTACAGCTATTTAATGTCATGTTGGTTAATCTTCTATTTATTTAATTGCTCGGTAGTGAGTTGTGCTATTTTATTCATTAGCTCATGATAATAATGCTTTCGCTAATTCTATTGATCAGTATGTTCTAATGATCTACTTGTAACACATTTTTATGCCTTTTTAAATCCAAATTTCTGGTATGTTTGCTTGATTTTTAATAAAGTATAAATGCAACGTTACAACACCAAGCTAACTGCTAAAACCATTAGCACTCTGAAAGTGATTGAAAACATGTGAAAACAGTATAAAACTGTTAACCTGTCATTTTTATGGCTGTTTCTAGGCAACCATTTAATAAAACACTCAGTACTCTTACTTGTTTGAAAGTGATTACTGTAAACTCCAGCATTGTCCATTTCAGCTCCTGTTTTAAGCCGTAGATTACTGATCCACTTCTGTCATCTTCTTTAGTAAGTTATGTTTTTTTAAATTAAAGGAACTTTACGGAGTTTTGAATTTTTATGCTCGTGATTTCCCCCTCAGGCCAAATGCGTAACGGCAGCTTCAATAGGAGGCTCGTGCACGAGGCGTGCATGCTGTACGTGCACACTCCTTAAGAAAATAACAGCTGAGACAGTCCCTTGTGTGTGTGTGTGTGTGTGTGTGTGTGTGTGTGTGTGTGTGTGTGTGTGTGTGTGTGTGTGTGTGTGTGTGTGTGTGTGTGTGTGTGTGTGTGTGTGTGTGTGTGGCCCGGAGGACAGATGACAGGAGAACGTGCAGCTAATTAACTAAATAATTTGGTTCTGTACCTTTCTCTTCAGCACAGCCGACAAAGGTTTAAGATGGGTCAGTTCTCCTGCATGCTCAGATCATTCCCTTCCCTTGCTTGAAAAATTGTTCCAAAATGAAAGTTGAACCCACATCTTTTTTACCTGTGAATTCAATGCTGTTCGGCGAGTCTCAAATAAAAATTTGGGTATCTTACTGTAAAAAAAATATCATTAATGTAAAAAAGAAACTCTAAAACAACTATGTCACATCCAGAATCAAACCCAGGTCTTCTGCACGAAAGCCCACAGTCTTGTTGGACGAGCTAAACTACCAGTGACGTCTTGTGTATCTGTAACATTTATATTCTTGATGACAGCTGAAACAATGTTCAAAGAACGGTTCGGGGGGCTATGCCTGAGCGTGAACGCGCATGAAGCAGCCTGCTTGACCCGAGCAGCTCTCTTTTTCTGTGATTTTACAAAAAAAATAGGCAATCACAGTAAAAATGCCAGGGCTCATTCTACCGGACCAAGGCATTGCAGGAGAATGCATTAAGAATAAATGTATTATTTCTATACCTGTTTTGGAGGTCAAATTTCCATAATGCCCCTTTAAGTCCTTTTTGGTGCACTACATTCAGGACTTGAAAAAAACATTTGTCTTTGTCCTGATTAGAGTGATTGCAATAACCATAGACTGCATAGAATTTTGGCATTTTAACACCCAGTCACCAAAGTAAATAGTGTTTTGCAACGCCTGCTTCTTCTAAACCCCCATCTGCATTTGGTTTCATGTGAAACCCAGCAAATAAACACAAGGGGGTGCATAAAATCAGGACAATGTGATTCATAAACAACCTAAAGGTAAACTGTGTGCCAAGTTTCAAGATGTTTGGCAATTGGAATTCACACTACAGCTGATAGCCTAAAAAAACACTTCTGTAAATAGAAAGAGAAACCTTCTTCATGGAACGATTTCCGTTATATAAACTCATTCCCATGTAGTTAACACAACCTGAGTACCTAAGCCTCTTATGTGCAATTAATGATTTTTAGGAAATTTTTCAATTTCGAAATTTTAGACGATCATTAACCACGCCTACTTTTACCACTACCATGGTGATATCATTGTCTTAAAGCTGTGTAATGAAGATATCCACAAAGTTTCATACAGATCCATTCAGCCATTTTGACAGTAAAATTTCAGCCTGTTTAAAGTGCTCCCTATTGTTTGATTCAGCTGAAAATCAACATGAACACTGGAATTGTCCTTAGGTACTATTGGTATGAAGAGCTTTGAAAAATGTCAAAATGTTTTGAAGTTATACTAAAATAAGTTTTACTTAAAAAATAAATTTTGAAAGCTCATATTTCCTAAAAAATAAACAAAATTGCCTATATATATAGACACAGACAGACAGACAGACAGACAGACAGACAGACAGACAGACAGACAGACAGACAGATAGACAGATAGATAGATAGATAGATAGATAGATAGATAGATAGATAGATAGATAGATAGATAGATAGATAGATAGATAGATAGATAGATAGATAGATAGCTGCTGTTCATCTTGTCAGGCAAAGTTTTCATTTGATTGGCTTTGATGGCTGGGAGGAGTTAACGAAAATATGTTTTACATATTTTGCTATTACATACATATCATGCAATTTTCTACTAATTTGCATAACTGTTAAACTTTTTACAAAATATCCATCTAATAATAATAATGACAAATTATACTAAAACAATAGGGTTCCCTGCCCTTCGGGATTGGAACCCTAATAGTGAAATTCCATTTTGGCCTTCTTATACAGTGTAAGAATGGATGGATAATTCATTGTAGAGTAAAGAGCTTTGGAGTCCTCAAACACAAAGGCGCTATATCAGTGCAGGTCATATATCATTTTTCATGCAAAATCAAGTGAGATATTAGGCTGAGTGATAACAGGGAGGAAAAGTTGTTGGTTGACTGGGGTGGGGGATTGGTGCGAAGATGGGCGGTTTCAATGGAGGAGTTGTGCCAGCAGTGGTGAGGCCATGGTGGGAACTTATGCTGGTTGGCCTGGAACTCACTGATAACTGCTTGCAGTTCTAGTCATTCTTATTATTAATATCCACTATTTCTAGGTGGGCACAAAATTCAGGAAATGGCATGATTGGAATGATTACACCAGATGATAACCTTCCACCCATTACAGAAGAGACCCTGTGTGTTTTACTCAGTGAGTGTGATGGGATCTTATCATCCAAATAAAATAAAGTCCCACATCATGCAAAAATGCAGTGTGACAGAAAGTGGTTAAAGTGCATCAACACTGTGGATTTAATACAAATTTTAAAGGACAATCTCTGGGAGAAGTGAGGTTAAATTTTTTGGTTCACAGCAGAAATGAAAACTGAGCATCAGTCAGATAGAGCTAAGCTCATTGACACTCATCTGTATTAGCGTGACCGTCAAAAATCTGATAAAATCACCTGTAAAATGATTAAAACAAAGTTAAAGATTATTCCTGGCAGATTGATCAAAAATAGTTAATAGCTGTTTTACCCAATTTTGTTCTGTTTCTAAGGCATCAACATTTGGGTTGCAGCAATAAAATTTAGACCATGATGCTCTTGACCATTTTGAAAATATGTAAATAAAAATATAGATAAATATGAATAATATGAAACTGCAACTTGGGGCAAATTTATACCTATGAATACAAATGGATGAAGTGTCTAAGAAGCCACAAATTCACTCCTCTGACCAAGCGCTATTGCCTGTTATACCATGCCAACCTCAAACAATCCAAAGCCCTTTCTAAGAAACCAGTTTTCCCACTTCTCCTAGTCTTTTTTTTTGTGCTAACCTTACAGAAAAGTTTAAGTCCTCAGACCCTAAAGACAGGTGATTCATTTCTTCTTTCATCTTCTGATGTGTCCCTTCTTTGTTCTTTGAAACTACCATTATTCTCTGATAAATGCCTCTCCCTTGTTTTGACTGACAGGTCAATGGAGGTGGGGCTCTGCTTGTCGTCTGAGGACTTTAAAGGGAGCGGAGACACTCAGAGAAGAAAGAAGAGGATGTCCAGTCAAAGCTTTGAGCGACTCAGCAGCTCACAGGTCAGGGTCGTCTTGCACTGCTTCTTTTGTCCTCTACGCCAGTGGTTCCCAACCTTTTTTGACTAAGGGACCCCCTGACCCGTTCTCTCATACCACGAGTGCCCCCTTAGCCAAATGTGTTGATTCCTCAAAAGTAGAATGGACAACTGATTATTAAATGAAAATAATTTCATTAAATATTCTTAACGTTGATCCACGTCTAAGTTCTCAGGTGAAATATTCAACTTCTAACAATCTTCATGCAGGGTCCAGAAAAACATAGACTCCATGTGGGAACTTTCTAGAGTTCTGCATCCAGATCTGCACCATAGCTGATGTAAATGTTCTGATTGGACTCAATGATTTCTGATCCAAGTGAAACTGGATCATATCCATTCTGCATTTGATGTGATCAAAGCGTCAGGCCCTCTCTCAGTAGCAGCTGCAGCCCTGCTCTGGTTTTCCTTCATAGTGTTTTTTAAGCCTGGTCCGCAGCTCCCTTGTCCTACAGGTTTTAAGTGTTTCTCTGCTACCACAATGAATGAGTGATTAACATGTTTCTGCAGCACTTGATCTAATCCCGATAAGACAATGCAGAAAAGCAGGTAGGCTGAAGCAGAGACATGGAAAAAATGATAAAAGCTGGTTTATTACTCATTTTGGTAGGAATGAGCCATATGGCCTAAAAAATGTACCACAGTATATGATTTAGTCCATGCAGACTCTGTTTTGTGAGGTCGAAGCAATATTCAATGACCGGCTAATAACTAAAGTCTCAGAAGACCCCAATGACTTGGAAGCACTCACCCCAAATCATA